TGAGTTTGTGAGGGCTGATAGCCACCGATCCGCTGACCGACCATGCACATCGACTCAGTTTAAAGGGCATGGTCTGTCAACGGGGGGGGGGGCGACCATATATATATATATATATATTATGGCCCTTAATAGTAGCCCTATTATAGACTATTACTGTATTGGGGCAGTACCCACCGTATTCCAGTGAAGTTTGTGTTGCCCTGCCCTCCGCCTGCAAGGTGAAACCAGCTGCCCGGCTCTTTGAGAACTCCTGGTCTATCCAGTGGAAAGCAGACTTTTCCGTTGAGAAGATCCTCTGCTGCAGATACCGGCTTGTCCTTCGTTGTGTCGTCGGAGGTTTCGACAAGCTAACTTGCACGATCGAGTGTGTCCATGTGGCTCTGTAGCTATGTCAGCTGCTGTAGCAGCTGTCAGATACAAGCAAGCTTGTTGATTGCAGCCACCACCAACACGGTGACAACATCTTTGGTGCGAGCTGGTTCCAGTTCTAAACCTGAGGACTGGCTGGAAGCTATGCAGTGGCTGTCCCACCGGCAGCCATGATGACTCGCACGGAAAGTGCAAATGTTCCGCTGGCTTTGTCTGCAAGGATCGGAGCCAAAGACAGTTGCCGATCCCTGGATGGGATATCAGCTGGATTCGAAACTGCTCGAGCGCAAACAACTCAGACGCGACTCGGCTGCGCAAGAAGATGTGTCAAAAGAAACAAAGCTAGTCCTGAACCCCAAACCCCTAAACCCTAAACCCCTAAACCCTAAACCCTAAACCCTAAACCCTTGCTTGGGCAGCAGCCTAGGCAACCTTTACACCGGACCAGAAGGGCTTCCAATGCATCAGCGAGAGGGAGGAGTTCACGGTTTACGTTGCTGTGATGCTCTCGGGCGCCTTTGAAGTTTCCGCCATGCTCGTGCTTTCATCGACGGCTTACCTTTTGCCTTTGTGCCTTGGGCTGTACCTCCTTGCAATGGTGGTCTTCACAGTTGCATCAACCTGTAACGACTTGGAGCCTCAGCTCAAGATTTGCTCTGCGGGTCGTGCTTTCCCCTCATCTTGACAGTATGATGTGCAGCCGTGGTAGGAGCAGTGAGATGTAAGGACACAAAGAGCTGGGAAGCAAAACTGCGTGGCTTCTTCGCTGAGTTTTTTGTGGCAACAAACGAGTGTTGGTGCCGCCGGCGTGGTGCTATCGTCTATGCCTCGCTCCTCTCCCTGCTGATGGCCTATTGGACATTTTGTTTCCCGGGAAGCCCAGTTTTCTTGTGGCCCTGGGGTATCTTCTATGTCACCTCATTAGTGACTAGGCTGATACACCGTGCGTAAGCAGAGTGCACCGAGAGGTGAACACCCATTGTGTCTACGGGGTCCCGAGCCAAGGCAATCTTCTTCTATCACCGGCGCCTGGCCTTGGCTGCGCAGGAGGCTGGAGGATGTCCGTCCTTGTCTCCCGGCATCTCCATGAACCGCGTCTCCCTCCCCTCTCTGCTGAAATGTTGATGCATCAAGTCATCTCCTCATGCCCATGCCATCGCATTGTCCCTGTTCGCCAAGCCTCCTTCCCCATGAAGTCTGTGCTTGGGATTGTTTCTGCAGGCCAAGCAGATGCTCTCGTGTTGGAGCTGGCAGTGCTGCCTTTGCTGTCTATGCTGCTGGAATCCTTTGGGCTCCTGTCTGCCGCTGACCACCTCGGAGACCTTGGAGAAGGCCGCTACAAGGACACATCTCCAGCGCCAACAGGAGGGGGTTTCTGAAAATAGGGGACCCTAATATAGTACCCTAAATAATAGGATCCTTCTTATAAGGACCCCCAAATAAGGTACCCCAATTTTCGGAAACCCCCAGGAGATGCAAGAGATCCAGGAGCCCTTGATGCCGTCGGCTGCCAGCGACGCGGGCATCAGTTCCCCTTTGCACCGCCTGCTTGCGAAGCCGAAGGAGGACGCTGACAAGGAGCGTTTGCAGATGCAGTTGTTCCAGCACCTGGTGGAAAGGGCCCAGAAGTCCGAAGGCTTCGAAGAAGCGTCCGACAGTCGCCCAGGTACGACCATGCTCTGGTTGGCGAAGTGGACGGTGCAACAGCCCGGAGCGAACATCGGCAGCTCCAAAAAATGGCACGCAGCCTGTGCTGAGCTTTTCCCGATTCTGTACTCCTTCCTGTGGTCGCTTGTCGTTGCAAGGATCTGTCTCGAGCACCAAGACGGCTTTATCCAAATGCCCCTTCCGAGCGTGCTGGGGAACTTCGCCCCGATCCTCGCTGACTACGAGTTCGACCTGGGTATTCTCCCCACTTGCCTGGCTGTGCACTTTGCTTGCATTGCACTCAGCAGTCTTATCGAGAGCAGGGCGTCCGCACAGCGCTTGCGCGAGTGGCTCTACACCTATGGACCTCTTGAGCAGTGGAAGGAGATGTACCCGAAAGCACATGAGATGTCCGATGTCACCTACACCATACAGGGCCAGGCGGATGATCCAGCGCAGGCTGATCCAAAGAGTGACAACACTCCAGACGACATCTGCGGCTTCAAAGTTTTCCGACAAAATGCAGCCCTCCCGAGCTCCAAAGAGGTCACCCTGAAGGTCGCAGCAACGGTAGCCACTTTGCTGAGTTTGGGCGGAACTTTGTTCTATCTCAGATACATCAGCTACGGCTTGCGGGAGGCCAGCGGGGACTGGCAGATGAAAACCACCTTTGCGGTGACGTACCCCGTCATCTTCTACTTCCTTCTCTGGTTGCCTCTGATCTGGCATCGGCTTTTGAATGGGCTTCTCTTTGCGGCTGAATGTTCCCTACTGCAGCGTACTGCCAGTGTCTTCTTTCACGATGTCTCTGCTGGAAAGGAGACGAGGGGAGATGTGAAGGCGCTGCTCGAGACACTGGGATGGAAGGTTCAGGACATTCTGTCAGACTGGAGGCTGCTGGTGAAGGTGGGCTTCGTCCTGGATGGCTTCGCTCTTGTGACCGGTGGGATGGCGAGCTACCGCCTGCTGATCCACTACGAAGTGACCCAGTTTGTTCCGGTGCTTGCTTGCAACTGCCTAACCATCCTTTCCTTGCTTTGCCTGCAAGTGGTGCCCATGGTCATGTGGAATGCCTTTCTCGAGGAGGCTGCAGGGAACGAGGAAAACACGGACCCCGTGCTCTACATGTGGCTGTCGCAAGGCTACCTGAAGATGCAGGTCTTCGGGCTCACCCTGAGCCCGGCTTACTTCTTGGGCCTGGTCTTGTCGCTCGCTGCATTGGCAGAGCCCTACATCTCGGAGGTTGTCACTCCCCCCCTGACGGAGATGCTGACGCAGTGATTGGATGCACGCCAATTCGACCTTTGCTTTTCAATGCTTTTCACCTCCCACACTCCTGGCATTGCTGCACTGATCTGCAGTGCCGTCGTGTGCATGTAACCACGCAGAATCTGACCCCGAACCTCTGTTCCTTGGCCGGGCCGGTCAACAGCTGTCTCTTTGGATTGTTGCTGCCTCCAGAGTGCTTAGATTGCTTGGTCTTACAATAGCGACCTCACCGCTCACCTTGCCAGTTGCCGGGACAATCGCACTTCCCAGGCTTTTCACGATGGGCTCTCCCAGGAGCTGGCTGAGAAGCTGTTCCAGGCCTGCAAATGCATCCAGAGACCTGACACCGCCTTGAAGCCTCTTGAATGGGACCTGATGTCGATGCCGTCTGATCAGCCTTCCTGTTTCCATGTGTTGCCGCGCTCGAGATCCTGAAGCCGCTGCTGCGCCCCACGGCTGCCGCAGTGAACCCTCGGCTGGCTCTGCCCTCAAAGTCGAGCCGCTGCATGGGGCCCTGTGGTGCTGTGGCAGAACCAGGCCGGACCGTGGTTGAAGTCCCCTTCAGGCAGGTTTGGTGCGTGCGGGTCTCAGCATTGCCAGAGCTTCCGGGTGAGTCTGCTGTTTCAACTGATTCGCATCTAGACTGGCTACTTGTTGTAAGCATCATTAAGCCATGAAGCATTCGACGATCCTTCAGCTGCTTCGGCCGCTGGAGTCGGCCTAGGCATGAGATCTTGTCATTAGCAGCTGGCAGGGCCAACCCTCGCAAGGGCCTGGGTCGTTTGCTCGACCGCCTGGCAGTGGCGAGGAAGGATGCCGGACACTGAGGGCATCTGGGGGCGGGGGGTTCCCGGCTAGGTGCTTAGGTAGTCCAGTGAACTGTTCAGTGATCGGTAGGACAGGGGAGCTTGTCGATGCTGATGCAGGGCCTCTGTGCTGTGTTTCTTGCGGTTCGAAACCGCGCATAACCAGACAAAGCAGCACCTTGCAGGGCTCTGCTTGGAGACCAGCCTCCTCTCTCATCGTAATCTGGTAGAGGAGAGGAAGCTGCCCCAAAACTTCAAAGCCCAGGCACAGACCGAGGCCAAAGTCGCCGAGGCATCCGAGGCGACGACCGGAGAGGGACCCTCGGAGTGGTGGCGGGAAAGGGGTCCTGTTATCTTCCGCTGGAGTCGTGCAGTCGTGCATGTTGCTTGCAGGCTTGCGCAGAGACCTTCTGTTGGTGCGTATCCTGCACCGACGAACAGAGTTGAACTCGCCGTTCTGTAGGATCGAACATCGGTGGACATGCAAACATCCAAGCTCACGAGCAAGGACTGTCAACATCTGTAAACTTTCAGGGCCCAGTTGACCACTAAGATGACCTCTTGTGAGCTGTTGCATGCAAGAGGAGCAGCTGCCTGCATGCTCATTCACATAGATAAACTTCAGGACATCTGGCTCGTTGTTAGCCAGTGACTCCTTGCGCGTCCGTCTGCCTGCTGGGCAGCTTCAGCAACTCTTGCACAGTCCATCCCATGCAGGTCATGCAGCGGTTTTGTTCCGCTTTGCTGCAGTGATCTCAGCTTTGCCTGGTGAAAGGGCCGCGCTCTGCCGCGATGGTTGGTGTCTTTGTAGAGGCCTTTGCTCACGGCATCCGAAGAAGTTGCCCGATGCCGCCGGCGTGGCCGGTTGGTCCGAAGCTCAGACTCCGAGTAGAAGTTGCTTCGTTTGTTCAGACAAGAAAGGTCATTGAATTCCACGATATGTACATCTCTTGACACAGAAGTGAGGTGCGAATCATGACACTTTTGTCGCTGGCAGGCATCGCTGGTAGCAGAGGTGTGCGAACAAAGTGGGCTCCAGATTAGCCCTGCGTTATCGCAGGCCAGAATCGTGACGCAATGTAGCAGAGCGCAGCAGGTTTCACAGTGTGTGTGTGTGTGTGCATCATCTGCCAGCTTGTTTGCAGCCGCAGGCGGCTCTCCAGCATTTTGAGGCTGCAGGTCTGCTGCAATCGAGAGGCCCGGGTACTTACTGGAACTTTCGGGTCCCTCCCCTCCTCCAGTGCCAGCGCCTGGCATCGAAAGGTCGCGATGTTAGCCTGCAAGCCGGCGATGGCGAGGACCAAGATTCCGGAGAATCCTGTCAAGTTGCCCCTGAATAATGAGTGTGGAGCTGTGAGCAAGGCCGACGTCCCTTTGAAGAGCCTCTACACAGACGTTCCATTGCTGGAGGCAGAATCTGCCGGAAGCAGTAGCCCTGTACTTCGCCCCATAAGCTGAGAGGCCGTGGCAAAGAAGCGGATGGATCGCCGAAGACAGCGGCAGCAGGCCGGATTTCAGGGCTCGGTCTGAGTTTGCAGGTTGCATGCCCTTTCTGTCTGCGTGAGATCTGCTATGCAAAGAGCTCGATGTTGGCCTCAGGCAAGAGAAGCGGCGAAGCGCCGCAAACGGCAGCGGACAGAGTAAACGATCTTGGCATGCGCATTTCTTGAAAAAAACTGAAGCCGGGCTTACGTGCTGATGCGCCTAGTGTCTTTAAGTCATGCGGCTGTCGCCGATAATGTTCAAAAGTTTTCCGATCAATGGCAGGCATACATCCCAACACAGCAGCCACCGATACATGATATATTTTGGACATATTTTGGCATCAGTGCAAGTCTGTGCAAGTTCTCCAGCTCAGTACCTGTCCTCGATGAACGCCCGAAGTAGCTGTGATGCATAGCGTAGTTGTTTTGATTCTTCGCCGCTGGTCCAGAGCCCTCTCCGGCAGCCAAGCCGAAAAAGCAGTGAGCCTGCATCAACCTGTACTCCATAGTGTGCCCATCATTATATACCAGATTGATGTGCTCAGCTTCGCGGAAAGAGAAAAGCCACACCCAGACGAAGCTACGCAGTCTGAGGCCCACAAGCCTGATTGCGAAACTCTGGCGGTGAGCTATGCAGAAGTTACATCAACTTTGAACAGTACATTGCCAATGTTATGCTTTCATTTCTTAGCCCATGCAAACTCACCCAACCTTGCAGAGCCCACGCAAGCTTGTGTGTAACGGAGGCGTGCTTGAGCATGTGGAGGGTTGTCATTGTTTCCGGCCAGAATGCTGAAGATCCGTTCAATCTCAGATTTTAAATCACAGGCAGGCAGCAAAGATGATGAAAATGCAGCAGAGCTCAAGTGACCTCCCCAATAGCTGCGTTTCAGTATGCCGGGTGCTTCTTTGGATAAATCTTGCCTTCTTGCAAACCGACCGAGCAAACGTGTTCAAAGCGCATTTGGGTGCCGGCATCTGACTTTAAGCCATGCCAAGTGTTCGCTGTTGGCTTGGCTCGCCGAAGCGGTGCATGTTGCATTTTAAGCAACGTTTTTTGCGTCTTTGCGCAAGATTAGAAGTACTTGTCTATTTTTTCCAGCCCGTGCCGTTTAGCCTTCGCATTGATTTGGTGAATCTTGTTGCTTTTGCACGGACCGGGTGCTTCAGCCGCGTCGACGCCCCTCCATTTTCCAAAGCGATTTCATTTTCCACCTCTGAATTTGGGTTTTTCTTCTTATCTACATTTCACCCCTTCTCAAAGTGATTTTTTTGAAACATGTTTCGGATGTGGACGTGTGGTTGCCGCAGTTTTGAGATGAAGCGGCACCGTTGGGAGGGGCAGGTCCCACAACGAACCCTTCAAGGCCTCCTGCAGTTGTGCATGCTCCGAACACTTGCAAGCACTGGAGTACTTTCTGGGTTTCGTCGCGTTTGCTTGTGGCAGGGACCGCTGAGTTCAAGCCCCACCCACCGCTTTGCAAAGGGTCTGGTCTGCCTGTCCAACGACAGGGCAATGAAAAACGATGTTTGCAGCTGTGGCAGTCTCTCCGTGGGTGCAGGCTCACTTATCGAACTTTCGGAAGCTGAAGCCACACAGTCTTCGCTCTGATCGTCGCTCTGTATATTTGTGGGAGCCAGCTATCGTTTTCTTGATGTCTGGGTCCTGGGGTTGAATGTTCCGAGAGTATCATGTGCTTAATCCGGCGGAGGGATATGCCGGGCGGACGTACCAGGGCAGAAACTCGCATCAGAAGCGAAAGTCCGAAATTGCTGAACCGTTGCTCCGCTGCTTCTCTTCTCAAGCCTCCCCAAATTGTCAGTTTTGTAACTGGTAGATCTAACGAAGCAACTGTGGCCCACCACTTTGTTGGGTCATTCATGATTTCCCCTGGCAAGTCCACTCAATGGCTTGCTTGCCTTCTTTGCATCTTTACCAATGTCTCTTGGCAAGAAGCCGAAGGGTGTTTTGAAGCTTTAGTTATTCAGCTACCAGCTTCAGAATTGTGATAGGTGCAAACCCAGAACTCACAGGTCGCTTGGTCTTACAAGCTTTCGAGCATCCCTCTCATGGACGATGGCAATGTCTCGGAGGAGGACAAGAATGTCACCGAGTTGCTTGCCAAGACCATGACAGCTGACATGAAGGACTTCCCCCTAAACCCTAAACCCTAAACCCTGAACCCTAAACCCCACTCCTTTCTGGACCCGTGGCCTGTAGAGAATCCCCCTACTCTTTGGTGCTCTTTCGTCTTGAGGACTTCGGCCGCTTGCCCGATCCAGAGGAGAAGGGCGAGAAGGGCGGGGGAATGGGTGAGCTCGGCAAGAGCTTGGAGTTTCTGATGCTCAAAGTCGCCCAGCTGGAGACCCTCGCGGAGATGCAGCAGGTGGAGCTCGCCATGCACCGTGCTTTCTTTGAGGACCTCTTCAAGAAGGTGGATCCTGATAAAGCAGGGGCCTCGATGATCCAGCAAACTTCGGAGAACAGAGTGCAGGAAGTCCACGGCATCTTGAAAAAGGTGGTCCAGAAGCACGCGCACCAGCGCCAGCACCGTGAGTACCATCCGGAGGCCCCGAAGAAGCCCAAGGACGCAGAGGAGGAAGCCGTCGAGGAGGGCCCGGGGCCCGGCGTCTCCCCGCCTGGACAAGAGAAGAGGTCCCTGCTCCAGAGGCGAAATCGCGACGCAATACCCCTCGGAAAAATATTGAAAGAAGGCGGCGAGTGGGCCGCAAAAACAGGCGGGAAAGCCTACAAAGGATTGTCAGAAGAGGCCTCCAGGCAAGTTGACACCGCTGTCAGAAGGCGAGGCTTGCCAAGAAGGGTAAGGCTTAAACCCTCAACCCGAGACCCCAGGCTAATATGTCACGTTGTGAATTCCGTACAGCAGGGCCACACAATCGCAGAAGCGAAGATCCTTAAGCTTAGCTTCGTTGATTCTGTCAATTCTCCCTGAAGGCTCAGTTGTGGAAATGCAATGCTCGACCTTCATTCCCTAAGCTGCAAGCCCTAAACCTTGGCCCTAAGCCTCAAGCCTTAAGCCTTGCATCCTAGGCCCTAAGCCCTCGTAAACCCAAGACTCCTATCCCTGAGCCCTTGAGCCTTGAAGCGGTAAACCCCAAGCTTTTCCCCGATTGCCCTGCAGCTTGGACGGCAGTGGGCTCACCGGTGGGGCTCTGGCCGAAACCTACAAACAAGTCAGGGCAGCAGGGAACACCGCACAGTTCATGGCCAACACTGCAATCTCCACCTTGGAGATGGCCGTGACGATCCTGACAGCAGGCGGGGAGGGCCTCGTGTGAGGTGTTTAGGCTTTCGGGTTTTAGGGTTTGAGGGGTTTGGTTCGGGTTGATGGCGCCACAGTGTGCTGGGATGGAATCCCCTCATTTTTGAGAGGCTTCGACGATTGGGGCGCGGATTGCTCCAACGCAGTTGTTCCAAGCATTGGCGTAGAAGGCTCCAACCTCTACGTCAACTTCGGTCACAACAGCTGCACGGTCTCCCTCATGAGTGAAAGAATCACTCTTTTCGACTGGAATTGGGGCAAGAAGACCGTACCTGTGGGCAACCTGCTGAACCTGATGCCTCAACAGCTTAAGAACCTGGCTGATGCTAACCTCGCCCCGAGTACTTTGCTGAACCTGATGCCTCAACAGCTTCGGAACCTGGCTGATGCTAACCTCGCCCCGAGTGCTTCTTGCAGCAATGTTGCTCCAACAATTGGCGTGGAAGGGAACGATATCTATGTCAACTTTGGGCACAACTCCTGCTCGGTCACCTTGATGGGTCGAACAACCTCGCTTTTCAATTGGAATTGGGGCAAGAAATCAGTCAACCTGCCCGTGCTGAGCATGCTGCCCGAACAGGTCAGGACCCTTGCCAACGCGCCCGTGGCCGTGATCAACTCGCAGATTACCTTTGCAACGGGAATCTCGAACTGCGTCAATGCGGACCAACCTCTTGGCCTCATCGAGTGCCTCGGCTACAAGATCATTGAGCGGGTTCCCCCCCTGAGCTACCTGAACAAAATGAGCGACATCCTCACCGAGGCAAGGGCGTCCTGGGTCGGGAGGGATGCTTGGGCCTGTCAGCACTGCTAAACCCTAAACCCCAAACCCAAAGTCTTCGACGCTCGCCAGGTCATCGAGGTTTTCGCCAGGATCGCCGCGACGGTTGTCGAGAAGGCGATGGAGAAAGGCCCCTCCTTGGTGCAAGTGGCAGCCACAGGCAAGTTCCCTGCCGCTGGAGAGCCTGCCTTGCTGCACCACAAGACCAACAACCTCATCATCGAGTCGCACACGCGGCAGCTGCCCCCTCGAGAGATGGCTGCCATTCAACAAGATGTCCGGCATTCAGAGGCTGGCGACGACTCCGACGGTGCCATCACCTTCGACATGGGCAGCAGCAACGACGTCCGCGCCACGAAGCTCATCACTCAGTTCGAGGGCAGGGAGACGGACACCAGCTCTTGCCTGGCTTTTGCCCCCAAAAACCGGGCAGGGAGCGGTGTGAGCCAAGCCGATTGGAAGGTTGGCAACCAGAACGATTTCCTTCAGCTGGAACCTTGGGCCGTTCCCTGCGACAACACGTGGATGAACGACAACTGGAACAGATGGCAAGGATACACGTTCTACACCCAACCATCGGCCGTCGAGAAGTGCGTGACCGTGACCTTCAATCTCGGAATGCAGCCCGTCGTGGCCTTCGTCGGGGGCTTGCAGTTTGAGATCTTGCCGGCACCTCTCTTCGAGCTGGCCACGACCGTCTGCTGGCCGAGCCAGCAACCCGGAGGAGTCGACTTGAGCGTGCTACGCTCCGAGGTGAAGTCCGCGGGCATCCTGCTCTTCAGCCGCACCTTGCGCCTGACGAAACGCTTCGGGGGCGGCACGGACTTCATTCCCTCGAACGCCCGTGGTGGCTACTCCACCTGGCGGAGCAGTGCAGGCATCGCTGAAGGGGAGACCACGGTGCCCAAGGACCAGATGAGCCGCACCTCTTTCCTGGAGACCAACCAGAGCCAGGGGGAAGAGGAGGTGGGGGAGGAGGAAGGGGGCGAATCTCTGTGGAAGACGGACTCGGAGGACCTGTACCTGGCGTCCGTGGACTACGGCGAGAACCTGAACACCTCTGTGAATAAGACCTTCGAGGCCTACGGCCAGGAGGCTGCCATGAAGGCGGGGGAGGACGTCTTCAAGCTCTTCCGCTTCAAGAACCCAGGCCTTGTGAACTTCCAGGTCGAAGGTCTCATGAACGGCAACAGCCTGGAGCTGGGCATGGAGATGGGCTTCGGCCCGTACAAGAGCCCTCCAAGGAGGATCCCTTTGGTCAACATCGCTCACCAGTTCTCCATCATCCTCGCTGGCATCCCCTTCGTGTCCAGCCGAAGCAAGCTCAAGGCCATAGGGAATTAGGGCTTTAGGGTTTCAGGGCTTTAGGGCGTTAGGGTTTTATGGTTTGTAGGGCTTCAGATTCAGGGTTTCGGGTTTTAGGATGTCTTAAGGGAAGCAAGCTCAAGGCTATCGACGCGCTCCGGGATTTTTCCATACAGGACGTCAGCAAGGTGCAGGGGCTGCCCCTGAAGCCGGGATCCCTAGTGGCTGGCTCAGAGTTAGGTAAGTTTTTTTACGGCTTTACAGGGCACTTACACCAACTATAAGGAACATGTGTAGCTTTTTCATATTAAAAGGAGTGAAATTGTAGATTTTTCGCATTTTCCCAGCACGAGGTTGCCCTCTACAATCCTCACTGGCGACGCTTCTTGCACATCAACGGCGATGCAGGCCTTGGAGTGACAGCGGAGATGAAGGGCCACGGCATCCCCGATCACTGGACCTGGGAACGGTTCACTGTTGCTTGCCGGTTCTTAGTAGAGAATGAGGGAATGAATCCCTACACTAGTCCCAACAGAAAGTCCCCTTATAAAGGCTCCCCAGAACCCGTTCTCCACTGAGCACCGGCCAGGTTGTGGACGCCGGGAACGGGGAGATCGCGCTGCACTGTGCCATTCACAACCGCTTCGTGGGCATCGGTGGCGTGAGCCCAGAGAAGAATGTACATGAGTTGCCCGACGGCTGGGACTCTGAGCGCTTCACGGTGGTGGAGGCCGGCAATGGTGAGGTCGGCTTCTACAACAAGAATCACAATAGATTCTTGCAATTGACCGCAGACGGTGCTGGACACAGCCCTCATCCACCACACCCTGGAAAGCTACCATCCGGCTGGACCTGGCAGCACTTTGTCGTCGTGCCAGCTGAGAAACTCTTGGTTCCAGGTTCCACAATCGCCCTGCACAGCCAGATCCAGAATCGCTACGTGACGATGCGTGGGGGAACCCTGGAGCGAAGTCCCGACAGAACGGCCCAGGAAGTCCCCCCTGACTGGTGGACGTGGCAGCGGTTCACCGTGGTGGATGCAGGACACGGGCAGATTGCCTTGCACAACAGCATCCACAATCGCTTCGTAGGAGTCGGTGCCGGAAGCCCTCACAGGTTGGTGGATGAACTTCCTAGTGACTGGGCTTCCGAGAGGTGGGACGTGTGGCCAGCTGGCAACGGCCAAATCGTCCTTCACAACAGACACCACAACAAGATGCTTCGCATGTCAGGTGACACAGTGGATTCCAGTCCCCACAAGGATCCAAAGCAATTGCCAGACGATTGGAATTTGGAGCGTTTCCGGGTAGTGCATCTGAAGCCGTATCTTCAGCCGGGTACCACCGTGGCCCTCCGCTGTCCACATTACGGCCGCTACATTATGATGTATGCAGGTGCGCCAGGCACCCTTCTTCTGGCCAGGGACAACCAGACGCAAAACGACACCTTTTTCCCAAGTGGAGGCTTCGGAGGCGTCGGAAACATCCACAACCATGTCAAGAATGCAGTTCAGCAGGCCAACGAGGCATACGAGGCGGCCCGCAAAGCGCAGGAAGCGGCCGAAGCCGAAGCAGCCCGGCAGCGCGCCCTCTTGGGCAGTATCGGCCGGAGCCCCGAGAGGGGGGAGGAGGGCAGCCTGGCTCCATAAGTGGCCTTTTCTAGGCTTCTTTTGGGCTTTATAGACGATCCTAAATTATATCATGGTTCGAAGGCAGCCAGGAGGGTAGCCTTGATAGCCTTTTTGGGCTTAGATGATCCCACCATGATTCAGACATGGCCCCTAAAACCCTGAAGTTTAAACCCTAAACCCAAAACCCCTAAACCCTAAAACCCCTAAGCTTCCCTAAACCGCAAGCCAAGTCTGCCCTAAACCCTGAAGCCCAAAGCCCCTAAAGGTATTCCCGACGACTGGACCTGGGAGCGATTCACGGTGATTGATGCCGGGAATGGGCAGGTGACCTTCCACAACAGCATCCACAACCGATACTTCGTAGCTCAGTAGGTGGCCTTGAGCCTTTTGGGCGCGTCGATGATATCTTACGAAAAGTTGTTGTAACGCTTAAGGTTATATATATATATATATTTCTTTTTTTTGGGGGGGGGCGGGCAGGGCACTCGACACCTAAGGATACCTTAAGATGGATGGCGATCGGATGCTCGTCAGCCCTCCCAGAGCTCCCGATACGTTCCCTTCCGATTGGACGTACGAGCGCTTCACGGTGCTCTACGATGGGAAGGGGAAGTTCATGTTCCACAACTCGAAGCACAACCGCATGATCAGGATGACGGGTGAGAAGGTGGATGCAAGTGGGAAGATGAACCCGCAGGATGTTCCGGATGGTTGGACCTGGGAGCGCTTCCAGATCGTGCCCTCAAGGCCTTACTTGCAGCCCGGGACCGTGGTGGCCCTCCATTGCGCTTCGCACAATCGCTACGTCTCCATGACTGGGGCTGCACTGCAGCGGAGTGCGGAGAGGGGCGTGGACGACTTGCCTGCCGACTGGACATGGGAACGCTTCACCGTGGTGGATGCCGGCAACGGTCAGGTTGCGTTCCACAATGCCGTCCACAACCGATTCTTGGAGATGAGGCCCCATGCAAGCATGGGATGCTCCAATCTCTACGCCGTGTCTGATCTGCAGGACTGGTGGACTTGGCAGCGCTTCACCGTCGTGCCTGCCGGTAACGGCCAGTTCGTGTTCCACAACACCCTCCACAATCGCATGATCCGGATGACCGACCACATCATGGACGCCAGCGGCGAGAAGTCTCCACAGGACCTGCCATCTAACTGGAACTGGGAGCGCTTTCGCATCGTGCGAGTCTCCGAGGCCAGTGAGACAGCCCAAAACGTCCGGGCCACCTTCGACTGAGCCGGGCGACTAGTCATCGACGATGCGAGCAGGACCAAAAGCGATCTCATGTGAAATAGGGCTAGTAGGGTTCATATTACGGTTTCGGTGAGTGTAGTTACGGCTAGGGCTCCTTTTAACGTGTGGTGTGTAGATATTCGGTCTTATCATGGGGATATTGGTAACAAACACCATACCCCCCCTGTGCATCTTCTTGTTGCCTGACCTGCATCTGAAAGTCTGGCGTAGCCCTCATCAGGCATGGTCTGGTGTTGTTGGGAACCGACGTGTTCTTCGTGGCCGATGCTCAGGTTTCAAGTTTCGTAGCACGCAGGTCGCGTTGCAAGATAGCTCGAGAACACATGTGTTACAACTCGCGACGGTGGCAAGCAGAAGGCCAGCTCTGGCACTTACGACCTGAAAGCTTGAAGAATGGCTCTTTCGGCCAGAGTAAAAGAGCCTTTACAGCACACATCAGCACATCCCGAAGCCCTGAGTCGTAGCCTTGCGCACCACATTCAGTCTTCAGCCGGGTCCCGAGTTCTCTTGCGAGAGTGCCGAGCTTCTTGTCTTTCGGTGTTTTTTGGAGGCCATTTGATGGTTTCCGAAAACAGGGGACCCTATTATAGCACCCTAATTTAAATAGTAGGATCCTTATTATAATGATCCCTAAATAAGGTACCCCTTATTTTCGGAAACTCCCATTTGATGGGTCAGAGGATCCGCGAAGGCTCAGCTTTTGAGTCTCATCTGCCGTCGGGGCTCCCGAGGTTTTCGATTTTCTGCCCAGATGGGAACCTGGGCACCTCGACAGACTTCTCCCTTGTTGCTTGCCTGAGCTATGAAAGCATGTAGTGTTGGGAGTGGATCAGTTTGAATTTATTCCTAGAGTTGTGCCTGTAATGGACCAATGGATCTCGGAAAGCATGATCATTTGGACAACGGATAACGAGAGGAAACAGAAGTGAATGGATGTTTTAAACAGGTGAGCGACACGGCAACCATCTTGTTCTTACGTTCTTGTCAGCATACAGCAGAACACATGGCAAACGACACCATGAGCGTGCGTTCGGCCCGCCGTTTTCGCAGGAGGTTTTGACATCCGTGAAAACCAACGCTCCCTTCTAGGTCCATTCACAAGGCCAGAACCGATGTCGATGGCACGACCTCTCATTATTTTTGCAGAGCATGTTGGATGTGCCACTTGGGTGAATGAGGCTCAAGCTGGGAACTGGGCTCAGAGTGGCTTGTATCTGCAGAGAGCTGCGAGCCTCTGGTGGACTTATAGTGGCGCGCCTGAGCCCCGACTCCGAGGTCTTCTGCTACTCGGAGCATGCATACTTCCAGAGGCGCAAGACATGGCAACTGGAGCAATTTTGAGCAGTATCTCATGCGGAAGGCCTCGTCCATGAAGCGACCTGCAGGCATTTAGCACGCCGGGTCCGCGGCGCTGCAACATGGCCCAGCCAAGAAAGGCATCACCCTCCGAGCCTGCGGCAAGGCCAGGTGGGATGCCCGTGCGGTGGGAAGTGAGCAAATCGTAAGAACAAAGGGGTGATGGGTTGATTCGGTATAGTGGCCTATGGTACGGTACCATCGCAGGACCGGAGACAGCTCTGGGTTCGCTACTCCCATCTCGGCGGGTGCGGTGGTGCCCAGCCACAAATAAGCTTTGGGAAAAGCTCTGTGCACCCTCCCTGTCTCCCTCATATTTGCTGGACTTCTCTCTTGCACTGAAACAGGATGACAAGCGATGTCAGAGCTATCCCATGTTGCGCTGCCTTGCAGCCAAGGCTTGCTTGTTGCTGCTGGCATCCGCCCTCCCCAATGCCGCAGTGGCGCAAGACTTCTTCGGGGGTGGTGGACCTGACGACGGAGTGGATCCAATCTTAGACGAATGAGCAGCGCCTGCATTTGCGCCGAACCTGCGCAGCACTCTAAACCTCGAGCCAAGGACCGTCGCTCCCTGATTGAGAGGCCAGAAGATGCCGGAGGGCAGAAGATGCCGGAAGCATCCACCAATCCAACCCATCGCAATGACCGTCAGAGCCTGTTTGTCGTCAGGAGTCCACCGCAGCCACCGCCGGCAGACGATAAGGCGCCGGACATCGCCCCGGAGGCTCCGACTGTTCGAAGCAGTGGCAACTGGGGTTTAGGGTTTGGGGTCTAGGGTTTAGGGTTTAGGGCAAGCACAGACGGAGAGCCACGTGCAGGAGCGCCAGCGGAGAAGGACGACACCATCCAAGGAGGTTGCTGAGGAGGAGAGCTCGTCGGGCTGTTCGGAAAACGCAGCAGATGATCGACAGAACCACCATTTCGTTTGGGGCAGGAGTGGTATAAGTACGGCAAGGAGGTCTTTGTTGCCAAATGTGCCGGGCACCGTGCCCAGCTTCACCTCTTTTGATTGAGCGGCGGTTCGAGCCTGCCGTCAGTCGTTCGAACGATACGCTCGTCATTGCAAGTCATGCATTCCGTGGAGAACGTAGGTGCCACCCTGGCGGCATGAATCAGATCCGCATTTCAAGGGGCCTCTCGGTTGCAGGAAGTCCCTGTCAGCATCCACAGGTGCACAGCATCCGTTTCCGAGGTTTGAACGTGGAAGATTTGGAACGATGGGGGCTCTTGCAGGAGGGCTGAAGCCTGTCCCAAACGTATGCTGAGCCGTGTCTCTTCCCCCCTTGCCGCAATTGCAGGAGCCTCAGAAGATTACAGAGATCATTCGCTATGGGCAAGGCACCATGCCAGGTGCGGCCGGCTTCGGCACAGGGCACGGATCAGAGCTTTGAATGCCGGCAGTTTGCCCGACAGGCTTTGCTGCAGACTGTCCGGAGAAGAGCGGCGTCGAGCCGCTTGTTTGCAAACGTTTGCGAGCAACTGAAGTGTGGTGCTACATGGTGCTACCCAAGTGGGGATTGGGCGGTCTCATTGCTTCAGGGGTGGCTTGACCAGTGCTCTGGGAGTAAGGCGATGTGGCGTCGTCGTTCCGCTCGATGAGGCCCGGTACAGTCGGCAGCTGACACCGTGGCATCTGATGTCTTTCGTGAGAGGCCACGCTCATTGATGTGGAGGACTCCGGTCGCCACGGTAGCTCAGTACCTTGACATTTGCGTGCTTGAACTTCAACATCTTTTCTTGGTGACTTGAGCAGGATTTCATGATGAACCGTGCGAATTCGGGCTGGAGGGGGCGCGGTTGATGCAGCTCTGGGAGAGGACGCAAGTGCAGAGAGAAATTCTCGAAGGCAGCTCAGAGAAGGATATGGGTAGTTCTCTAAATTAGGGTCCCTTTTGGGGTCCTTTTTATAAGGGTGCCGTACTATAATGGGGACCTATAATGGGACCTAAACAGGGACCCTTATTTAGAGAACTACCCACATCGCAAGCCGATCCCATGAGCAGTGCGGGCACTGTTCCTGAGCGAATGCATCTCATCGCATTACATGTCGCCACAGCCAGTAGCCGGCTTGACGAAACCACTTCCTCAAAGCAACATCATCTGCAGCCAGAAGAAACTGCCCAAAGCTTGTACTGTAGAACATAATGCATGTAAACTATGATGCGTGCTTGCCGTGCGCAAGCTCAAGTCTGCTCGCAACTACATCATCTTACATCATAGTTCCTTCCGTTCTTGCGGGATGGCTCCATGTCCCACGTCTTCTGCCGCCGCCAGCTTAGTGTCATAAGCTTCGCCGAGCACAGCCTCTTTCGGAAGTCTCTGTGACTAGCTGTAGCTGAAGACTAAGACGGAAGTGCTCTGATGGCGCAACCCAGGTGGCCCTACCTGGGGGCCCCGCAGGCTGGCTGTGAGTGGTGAGTGTTCCTGCTGTTTTCTGCGTCTGCCTGGGGTTTCGGAGTGAAGAAGTAGCAGGATAAAGCCGAACCACATCTTCAGCATTTGACACAGCACAAACCTGCCTGTCGTCCCTCCCTCCCTCCATGCCTGCGCACTCAATGCAACGGAAGTATCGACAGTGCTCGAAGTTCGAAGATCATCCAAGCCGTGTCCCCAGGGTGTTTTTAGTTGAAGCTTGATGCTACAGGCAGTACTGCCGGAGGATCCCGCGAGGGCAACCGCTCACCTTCTGCGGCTTCGCCCCGAACCCAGACGAGAGCTGTCCACTCACAGACAGGCTTTCCAGGCAAAAGACCGCCAAAACCCGTCATGCTGAGGCATCGCGGCTACTCCCAGCAGCGCGGAGCCTGGCATATCCTGGCATGAAGGGCCCACACTGCCTCGGGAGGGACTTAGCGCGACCCAGAGAGGCATCAGCAGCGCGTGGCTGTCAACGCAGAGGGCCGCTTCCTGGCTCACTGGGACGCTAAGCTGCACTTGTGGACGAGAACGTGGAGTGTCGAGATCCTGTCGAAATCTTTCGAACGACATTCCGTTTTGCTGAGGATGAGTTTGTGGAGCACAGGCGTGAGGCAAGATGTAAAGCCACACAAGTCACTGGAATGCATGACGGATTTCTACATGCCTCGAGTGCCTGTTGTCTTCAAGAATGAGCCCCCATACTTTTACACGTAACCGCTCCTTTCACATCCAGGTGCAAGCGAAGCTCGAGGAGGCCTTTGAGATGGCCAGCGAGCGCCGAGAGGCTGGGCAGCGACCCCAGGAAAGCGAACGGCGATTCGGATTTAGGAGTCGGGATTAGGCAAGCGCTTGAACTTGCGGTTTCGCGGGTCGTAGCAGGTAGCTCAGCTTGGCAATTCAGCGGCAAAAGCTCGTTGAAATTGTCGGAAAGGCTCGCAGCTTGAACACCTGCTCCAATCCGCTGGTGTATGTCAGAAGGAATCTGCTGCTGCAAGTGCTAGCGGTAGCCCCGACTCATTTTCGAACAACGACGCAGCAGCATTGGCTTGTCGCAAGGCCGTGCGCAATCCAAGCAGATCATGTCACTCAGCACAGCAGGCTAGAACTACACATGCACATTTGCGACATCGACGCGGCGTCAACGCTCCCTCAAGCCGAACCCGAAAGCCTAAATTCTGAGATTCTGAGGCCTAAACCCTGGATGTTGCATGTGTCTTCTGTGTCTTCTCCCCTCCAGCTCGTCTCCTCATGATGCGCTTTCGAGTTGATTGAGGATGGGGCAGGCAGCAAACAGAGGCGACAGCAAGGGGCGGACTGCATCTTTAAAACAAACCTAAAGAAGTACCCAAATAGTAGGATCCCTATAAAAACGACCCCCCCAAAACAAGATACCCCCCCCCCTTATTTTCGTTAAAACTATTCTAATGATTAGGGCGCCTACATTCTGTTAAGTATAGCATAAAGGGCCCCAAAACCGTTACCAGGGGCGCACAACACTAAACCCTAAACCCTAA